AAAGGTCTAGTTTCGTGGCTTGAGATTATGTTGACACTTTTGTGTAGTTGAAAGCTGGCAGATGATAACTTGAGCCTCTCGACAAACTAATGATGGGAAGCGTGATCTGATGTCTGTACAGAATGATGAGACAGTTGTGGCACCGTGACTTACAGAATGATGAGACAGTCGTGGTAGTGTGTCTGTACAGAATGATGAGACAGTCGTGGTACCGTGTCTGTATAGAATAATGAGACAGTCGTCGTAACGTGTCTTTACAGAATTATGAGACAGTCGTGGTACCGTGTCTGTACAGAATGATGGGACAGTCGTGGTACCGTGTCTGTAAGGAATGATGAGACAGTCGTGGTACCGTGACTGTACAAAATGATAAGACAGCTGTAGTGCCGTGTCTGTACAGAATGATGAGACAGTCGTAATCCGCTATCTGTATAGAACGATGAGACAGTCGTAATCCGCTATCTGTATAGAATGATGAGACAGTCGTAATCCGCTATCTGTATAGAATGATGAGACTGTCGTAGTACCGTGTCTGTAAAGAATGATGAGACAGTCGTGGTATCGTGTCTGTATAGAATGATGAGACAGTCGTAATCCGCTATCTGTATAGAATGATGAGACTGTCGTAGTACCGTCTCTGTACGGAATGATGAGACAGTCGTAATCCGCTATCTGTACAGAATGATTAGACAGTCGTCATCAGCTATCTGTATAGAATAATTAGACAGTCGTAATCGGCTATCTATACAGAATGATAAGATAACCAGATTCCTGTGTCTGTACAGAATGATTAGACATTTGTAGTCCATAGTCAATACAGAATGATGAGATAACCATAATCCGGTGTCTGTACAGAATGATTAGACATTTGTAGTCCAAAGTCAATAAATACACAATGATGAGATAACCATAATCCGGTGTCTGTACAGAATTATTAGACATTTGTAGTCCAAAGTCAATACAGAATGATGAGATAACCATAATCCGGTGTCTGTACAGAAGGATTAGACATTTGTAGTCCAATCTCTGTATAGAGTTAATCGAAGTTTTACCGACTTCAAATGAGGGAAATACGCTCAGCTTCAAAGCTGTTGGAAGTTTCTGTGTTGCCCACTCCTGTTGTGATGCTCTAAACACGTGTTTAGTGTGCCTATGTTTAATCCTGTCCTGGGTAGAGTCTAGATCTTACACTTATTTTTTTTTTTTAAATTGACTTTAGCTCACATGTAGATCCAGCGTAAAAGAGGTACTAGGTAATATCCTGGAAGTTAAGGTGGCCGGTGTGATACTGACCACATGAGCCACCGTGTCTACCATTACAAACCTGTTGGGATAAAAGAGTCAGGTAGGTGGTTGACCAGAGTGAGGTGGATGGTTGACCAGAGTGAGGTGGATGGTTGACCAGAGTGAGGTGGATGGTTGACCAGAGTTATGTGGATGGTTCACCAGAGTGAGGTGGATGGTTGACCAGAGTGAGGTGGATGGTTCCCCAGAATAAAGTAGATGGTTGACCAGAGTGAGGTAGGTGGTTGTACAGAGTGAGGTGGATGGTTGACTAGAGTGAGGTGGATGGTTGACCAGAGTGAGGTGTATGGTTGACCAGATTGAGGTGGATGGTTGACCAGAGTGAGGTAGATGGTTGACCAGAGTGAGGTGGATTGTTGACCAGAGTGAGGTAGATGGTAGACCAGAGTGAGGTAGATAGCTGACCAGAGTGAGGTGGATGGTTGACTAGAGTGAGGTAGATGGTTGACCAGAGTCAGGTAGGTGGTTGACCAGAGTGATGTGGATGGTTGACCAGAGTGAGGTGGATGGTTGACCAGAGTAAGGTAGGTGGTTGAACAGTGGCAGGTAGGAGGTTGACCAGTGTCAGGTAGGTGGTTGACCAGAGTGAGGTTGATGGTTGACTAGAGTAAGGTAGGTGGTTGAACAGTGGCAGGTAGGAGGTTGACCAGAGTCAGGTAGGTGGTTGACCAGAGTGAGGTGGATGGTTGACTAGAGTAAGGTAGGTGGTTGAACAGTGGCAGGTAGGTGGTTGACCAGTGTCAGGTATGTAGTTGACCAGAGTGAGGTAGGTGGTTGACCAGAGTGAGGTAGGTGGTTGACCAGTGGCAGGTAGGTAGTTGACCAGTGTCAGGTAGGTGGTTGGCCAGTGGCAGGTAGGTGGTTGACCAGTGTCAGGTAGCTGGTTGACCAGTGTCAGGTAGGTGGTTGACCAGTGTCAGGTAGGTGGTTGACCAGTGGCAGGTAGGTGGTTGACTAGCGTCAGGTATGTAGTTGACCAGAGTGAGGTAGGTGGTTGACCAGTGGCAGGTAGGTGGTTGACCAGTGACAGGTAGATGGTTTACCAGTGGCAGGTAGGTGGTTGACCAGTGACAGGTAGATGGTTTACCAGTGTCAGGTAGGTGGTTGACCAGTGCCAGGTAGGTGGTAGACCAGTGGCATGTAGGTGGTTGACCAGTGGCATATATGTGGTTGACCAGTGGCATATAGGTGGTTTACCAGTGTCAGGTAGGTGGTTGACCAGTGTCAGGTAGGTGGTTGACCAGTGTCAGGTAGGTGGTTGAACAGTGTCAGGTAGGTGGTTGACCAGTGTCAGGTAGGTGGTTGACCAGTGTCAGGTAGGTGGTTGACCAGTGTCAGGTAGGTAGTTGACCAGTGTCAGGTAGATGGTTGACCAGAGTGAGGTGGATGGTTGACCAGAGTGAGGTGGATGGTTGACCAGAGTAAGCTAGGTGGTTGAACACTGGCAGGTAGATGGTTGACCAGTGGCAGGTAGGTTGTTGACCAGTGACAGGTAGATGGTTGACCAGAGTGAGGTAGGCGGTTGACCAGTGTCAGGTAGATGGTTGACAAGAATGAGGTATGTGGTTGACCAGTGTCATGTAGGTGGTTGACCAGTGTCAGGTAGATGGTTGACAAGAGTGAGGTAGGTGGTTGATCAGTGGCAGGTAGGTGGTTGACCAGTGTCAGGTAGAATGTTGACCAGAGTCGGAACTTGGTTGTGGTTGATCTAATTGATTTTGAGTCCGTGTAAAAGTATCATTATGTGTGTGTGTAAGTGTGTTTGTGAATATGTGCGTCGCGCATGCGTGCACTGATGTGTCTACATATATACACACACACACACATATATATATATATATATATGTGTGTGTGTGTGTGTGTGTGTGTGTGTGTGTGTGTGTAGACAATAAATAAATCTGTGACGATGTGGTAAAACTGTTCGCCTTGCGCTCTGAAGGTCGCGCGTTGGTTTCACTGCTGTGCCGTTTACCTCACGGGTGATATGTTTACGGAGATCCCTGGGAATCGTCACTGGAGTTCGTGCTCTGTGCGGCGCTCTCGGCAGGCAGCTAGCTGTTCTGCGTAGAGAGACTGAGCTCTGTGGAATAAAACCCGGTGCAGTGAAGCTTTTTCTCTCGACTTTAACTTTGAACTACAAACATTTAATCACACACACAGAAAGACAGGCAGTCAGATGGACGCTCAAAACATACAGACAGTTTGCTGTATGTCTCCAAGTTTAAGACGCTCCCGTGTTTGAGAAGCACCTTGATTTTAGGAGCGGAATATTTAATAAAATTATAACATACTACCATTGTATAAAACGCATAATGTTTTTAAACCCTACACCTTTGTAATGTTTTTATACCCGATATCTTTGCAATATTTTTAAACACTACATCTTTGTAATGTTTTTATACCCGATATCTTTGCAATATTTTTAAACACTACACCTTTGTAATGTTTTTATACCCGATATCTTTGCAATATTTTTAAACACTACATCTTTGTAATGTTTTTAAAGCCGATATCTTTGCAATATTTTTAAACACTACATCGTTGTAATGTTTTTAAACCCCACATCTTTGCAATGTTTTTAAACCCGACATCTTTGTAATGTTTTTAAACCCGACATCTTTGCAATGTTTTGAAACCCGACATCTTTGTCAAATAATGTAAAACATACTCTCACATACATGTGCTGCTGTGTGGCTAGACGGTCAGTGAATGCTTTTAACAGTTTCGGGAAACACGAGTACGAGGAATCGATTACCGAAGAATAAAGTTAATTTTTTTTTTATTTATTTTTTTGCTCTAATTGGTTTTCGGCAGTGGTACAAGAATAGCATGACGGAAGAAACTGAGATCTAACCTAGTAATGCTCTATGGGGTAGACTGTAGCCAACATTGATTTGTTGAGACGAGGCGCGTTTATTGTTTGGTGTTTTTTTAAACGTATCCAGAAACCATGAGTTGTAAACCCTTTGGCTCGGTACTATGGATATCGCAACCCTTCGGCATTGATATCATTATAGGTACCGTTAATCTGGGAGAAATGTGGCTTTTCTGCCTACCCCCGGGAGTGAACCCGGACCACAAGGAGTTCGTCACCCGGCCGCCGCGAAAATCAGGTTTAACCAACTTCGCTAGAGAGCCGGGCAAACGCGCGTTTATTGTTACATACCTCAATTCTCTATTCAACATATCAACGAGACGGGACACGTTTATTGTTACATACCTGTATTCTCTATTCAACATATCAACGTAACAGGACACGTTTATTGTTACATACCTGTATTCTCTATTCAACATATCAACGAGACGGGACACGTTTATTGTTACATACCTGTATTCTCTATTCAACATATCAACGAGACGGGACACGTTTATTGTTACATACCTGTATTCTCTATTCAACATATCAACGTAACAGGACACGTTTATTGTTACATACCTCTATTCTCTTTTCAACATATCAATGAGACGGGACACGTTTATTGTCACATACCTCTATTCTCTATTCGACAGGTCAACTGTGTATTGTGATGGAGTACGCTGAACTCGGTGACCTGCTGACTTACCTAAGGACCGACTGTGCCTCGCCATTACAGTACGTCCGTGTGGGCAGCAACGGGCTGGTGGTGGAGCAGAGTGCTCCCCAGGTGGAAGACAACGCTATCCTCATGATGTTTGCCTGGCAGATCGCCAAGGGAATGAGCCATTTGGAGATACACCGGGTACGTCGCTGGCAGTTCGGCTCCTTTGTTCAAGATCTATTTTCTTTCTTCAGGATCCCTTTCATTTATTCATGTTTTCTTTCGTTGTTCACATTCTCTTTCGTTTGTTCAAGTTCTCTTTCGTTTGTTCACGTTCTCTTTCGTTTGTTCACATTCTCTTTCGTTTGTTCGCGTTCTCTTTCGTTTGTTCGCGTTCTCTTTCGTTTGTTCGCGTTCTCTTTCGTTTGTTCACGTTCTCTTTCGTTGTTGACGTTCTCAATAGTTTGTTCACGTTCTCTTTCTTTATTCACGTTCTCTTTCGTTTCTTCACGTTCTCTTTCGTTTGTTCACATTCTCTTTCATTGTTCAAGTGCTCTTTCATTGTTCACATTCTCTTTCGTTGCTCACATTATCATTTATTGTTCACGTTCTCTTTCGTTTGTTCACGTTCTGTTTCGTTTTTTTCACATTCTTTTTCGTTTGTTCACGTTCTCTTTCGTTTGTTCACGTTCTGTTTCGTTTGTTCACGTTCTCTTTCGTTTGTGCACATTCTCTTTCATTGCTCACGTTCTCTTTCATTGTTCACGTTCTCTTTCATTGTTCACGTTCTCTTTCGTTTGTTCACATTTTCTTTCGTTTGTTCGCGTTCTCTTTCGTTTGTTCACATTCTCTTTCGTTTGTTCACGTTCTCTTTCGTTTGTTAACATTCTCTTTCATTGTTCACGTTATCTTTCATTGTTCACGTTATCTTTCATTGTTCACTTTCTCTTTCATTGTTCACATTCTCTTTCATTGTTCACATTCTCTTTCATTGTTCACGTTCTCTTTCATTGTTCACGTTCTCTTTCGTTTGTTCACATTTTCTTTCGCTGTTCACGTTCTTTTTCGTTGTTCACATACTCTTTCGTTTGTTCACATTGTCTTTCGTTTGTTCAGGATCCCCATTGTTTGTTCAGACTCCCCTTCGTTCTTTTTAGTTCAAAATTCCCTTTGTTTGTTCAAGATCCCCTTTGTTTGTTCAAGATCCCCTTTGTTTGTTCAAGATCCCTTTTGTTTGTTCAAGATCCCCTTTGTTTGTTCAAGATCCCCTTTGTTTGTTCAAGATCCCCTTCATGTGTTCAGAATTTCTGTCGGTTGTTGAGGACTCCCTTTCATTTGTTCAGGATACATTTCTACATAGACTACTGAGTCAAAGATAGATTATATACCATAGACTACTGAGTCAAAGATACATTATATGACATAGACTACTGAGTCAAAGATACATTATATACCATAGACTACTGAGTCAAAGAAACATTATATAGCGTAGACTGACTACTAAGTCAAAGAAACATTATATACCATAGACTACTGAGTCAAAGAAACATTATATAGCATAGACTACTGAGTCAAAGAAACATTATATACCATAGACTACTGAGTCAAAGAAACATTATATACCATAGACTACTGAGTCAAAGAAACATTATATACCATAGACTACTGAGTCAAAGAAACATTATATACCATAGACTACTGAGTCAAAGAAACTTTGTATACCATAGACTACTGAGTCAAAGAAACATTACATGACATAGACTACTGAGTCAAAGAAACATTATATGACATAGACTACTGAGTCAAAGAAACATTATATAGCATAGACTGCTGAGTCAACGAAACATTATATAGCATAGACTGCTTAGTCAAAGAAACATAATATAGCATAGACTACTGAGTCAAAGAAACATAATATAGCATAGACTACTGAGTCAAAGAAACATTATATGACACAGACTACTGAGTCAAAGAAACATTATATGACATAGACTACTGAGTCAAAGAAACATTATATGACATAGACTACTGAGTCAAAGAAATATTATATGACATAGACTACTGAGTCAAAGAAACATTATATGACATAGACTACTGAGTCAAAGAAACATTATATGACACAGACTACTGAGTCAAAGAAACGTTTTACATCACAGACTACTAAGTCAACGAAACATTATATGACATAGACTACTGAGTCAAAAAAATGTTTTACATCACAGACTACTGAGTCAAAGAAACGTTTTATACCACAGACCACTGAGTCAAAGAAACGTTTTACACCATAGACTACTGAGTCAAAGAAACGTTTTACACCACAGACTACTGAGTCAAAGAAGTGCATAGCTGTGTGTGATAAACTTCAAACGAAATAGAAGAATGAAAGGGAAAGGAGAAAGAGATCTGGAACACTCATCCGGTTCAGCTACGTAAGGGGATTTATAACCTGAAAAAAAAATAATCCCAATATTTCATAAAATTTGGATCTTTGATATTTATCTCAGCAGTAATCCGCTTTGAATATTTCACTTTCCAAGAGTGTCATATGTTATACACTAACAGAATCATTTAGAAAAAAGTGCGGAATTCGAACAGAAATGAACAACATGGCGTCGGTCTCTTTTACTTCTGATGACCTTTCCTTATAATGAATGCTAGGCCCACCTGCAGTTCAGATGGGTTAATAAAAATGAGGCTCTATATGGAACCGAACCCTAGAACTGGGGTCTCAGTCTTCTCTGGACAGTGTCCTCAGATGGCTCTCGATGTCCCGTAACCAAAGATGGTGAGACTTAAAAGCAATACCGAACAACAAGAAACTATCTTGTTCATTCCCCAGTTCATTCACAGAGATCTGGCGGCCAGGAACTGTCTGCTGACCCGGGGTCCCATTGCCAAGGTTTCCGACTTCGGCCTTTCCAAGGACGCCTATGAGCTGGGACACTACAAACGTGTACAAAAGGTAATTAGAGGGTTCACATCACAACGGTACACTACAAACGTGTACAAAAAGTAATTAGAGGGTTCACATCACAACGGTACACTACAAACGTGTACAAAAGGTAATTAGAGGGTTCACATCACAACGGTACACTACAAACATGTACAGAAGGTAATTAGAGGGTTCACATCACAACTGTACACTATAAATGTGTACAGAAGGTTATTATAGGTTGAGCTAGAAGAACGGAAAGGTACCAAGTACACACTACGTATTTTTTAATGTGTAACCGTAATGTAATAATTAATATAATAATAAAATAATTAATATAATGATTAATATAATTATAATATCAAAATATAATATAATCATATTAATAATTAAAATATAATAATATAAAATATAAAAATTTAATTTAATAATAATTAATAAAATATAATAGTTTAATAATAATTTGAATGGTGTTTTTTTAAGACAAGTACAGAGATTTAAGTATCTAGGCACATGTATAACATCAAATGGAGGATGCATCACTGAGATAAGAAGCCGAAGAAAAAGTATTCTTGCGTGCTACATAGAGGAAGACAACGAGAGAAGATACTTGACAGTCTTGTTGCGTGGCATGGAGGTGTGTCGGCAAACGAACTGATACATGCTGCAGGAGATCGCAAATTGTGAAGAGGCATAATTGCCCACGCCAGTCAACAAGACACTTGATGATGATGATGAATTTTGAAATAATGAACGAAATTATAGCAGAAAATCGACGTTAATATTTCTTTCAGGACAGAGTTCCCTTTAAATGGTTGAGTCCCGAGGGTCTGCTGTGGGGTCAGTACAGCTCCAAGAGTGACGTCTGGGCATTCGGGATTTTACTCTACGAGCTGTACACGTTTGGGGGAACCCCATACCCTCAGGTGACAACAGGTAAGTCTGTTTTACCTGTCACTGTGGTAACGTATTAGTGATCAGTGAGGACTGTCTTCACAGCACCCGGTCAGATCCACAGGTGCTCTGATCTTCTCCGCAATAGCTTCACGGGAGTAAAACAAAAGATGGCGCCTGTTATATCTCAATTAACCAGACGCTTTGTGTCCTTGGGGAGGTGTTCGGTACTACTCACGAGAGTCACGCCAACTCGTCGACGGCGAGATTTCACAGTGGTTCCCACAAGCTGCCCTATGTTGTAGAGGTGTTATGAGATGTCTGCCTCCACCGTCTATATACCGCGTGTTGTTTGACGAGGCGACACACGTTCTCGCAGACTAAAGTGCGCAGCTTTCTTTCCGCAACTCTCTTTTCTGTGAACGAGTGTTGTTCATGGAGTGTGTTAACTTGTGTTTGCGTGTTTGCAAAGAAGTAATCTGGTAGTCTGGTAGTCTTAGTTTCAGCTTCATAACAAACGGGTTGCCCCATCTTTGCTCCGCTCCTGTGCCAGCGAAAAACACTCAGAATGTCTATCACAGTCCCTTGTGGAAAGATTGACAGACTGCTGTCTCAGCATATCTAGCATACACTCGCATTAAAGCATATGGTAGCCATCCGAAGTGCTAACACAAACAGTCCAATATTAGAAATGCAGTTCATCATTGATGATATCAGAACTTGTCGTCAACAGATCAGCAGTTGTCCGCGTGATCAATTTTAATACAGGTCCCGCAAGCATTGAACGACAGGCATCGCGCCATTTTCTGAATCTACAATTCACACCACCACGTTGGTCACAGTCGAAAAAAAACATTCCAAATGCAATCCGCAGCTCACAGGGTCACGCCATGCATTCAACTCAGAAGCTGGGCGACGAAACTATATCCAGTCTACAAATGGAGCAAAAATGCATCGGCCACCGTCCGGCAGAAGCAAAAAATTTGCCTCTGTTCCGAACGGCGCCGCTGTCTAGCGTCCATTTTAACCGGAAGTCAAAAAGTAATAGAAGAAGTAATAAAGGGGGATGAAACGAAAGCGCGACGGTTTGTGAGTATTAAGTCAAAAATATTTTTATATTTTTACACCGTTGGCGGTGGCTGTGTTTAGTGGTGGGTGGACTTAAGAAGGTCAAAACGAGTAACACATGACACCCCTAGACTGTAGGAGCGTCCTGGGAAATCCCTATGAAATCACGTGGCAGACTAGGTGGAGTGACTTGTGTGAGTTGTACCGAATATTGATGACTGGCTCCTCCAGGCTGCATCCCCATGTCCATAAAGAGTCATTCGTGGTAACCGCCTTGTCTGCCAGCTAATCTGCACGCTTATTGCCTTGGACACCCGTATCGCTCAGCACAAAAGTAGTATGTCGCCCTAATTATCCATATTATTTGCGGAGGGAAGTTGGAGGAAGGTGGGGGGGGGGGGGGTTTAAAGGTTGAGGAAAGTTGAATGTGAAGGGAAGCTGTAGGTGGAGGGAAGTTGGATCTGGAGGGAAATTGTAGGTGAAGTTCACAAATTAGACACACGTACAACCATTCACTCACTTACACACACACATAGGCACCCAAAACACACATACATACACATCCACATACATACAAACATGCACACATACACACACATGCGTACATTTTAACATACAAACATACATACATACACACACGCACGCACGCATACGCACACACACACACACTCATACAAACACACACTCTGAAACACACACGCATAGAACCCAAACACACACAGACACACACAGCTATACAAACACATATACACATACACACATAGAAAAACACACACATGCACACACGTAGCCACACAGACACTTACAAACACACACACCAACGCACACAGACATAAACCCACACACACGCAGCTACAGGCACACAAGCACATACACACACGCAGGCAGGGTTGCACACAGTTACGAACATATAAACATATGCAACACGCACACAGTTACGCACACAGTCACACACGCAGACACACATACGCTCACAGACATACACGCATACACATAAACTGACACAAAGAGAGACACATGCGCACGCAGACATTATGTATTAGACACAACTATAAAGATACACTCAGATATACACGCAGCCACACACACAGACATATAATAGCACACAAATACACACATACATACAAATACACCCATTGATGCACGAACACTCACACAGACACACATACACAGACGCACGCACAGACACGCACATTTTATCAAAAAGACACACACATACACACGAAGCCACACACACAGAGAAAAAGCAGACATTATATAATAGACTCACCCATAGAGGCTCACACAGATACTCCTATAGCCACACAAGTAGTTATCATTATATGCGAGTTTAGCTCACTTCCGGTTTTTCTTTGCCGGTCTTTTTTTCTGCCGGTCTCTTTCTGCCGGTCTTTCATATAATCATATTCACTTTTAAAAAAAAGGTTATCCTACCCTACGATCTTTTTTTATTTAAAAAAATAAAAAAAATAGAGTCTGTTAGTCATTATATTCATTTGAATTATTTGTGGTATCCATCATTAAAATATATATTAATTCCGACTTACAATAAACACACCAAACATAATCGGAAATCCCCGAAATGATATTTTTGCAATGATGAATTTGAAATACTGATATAAATACATTAACAAAAAAAATTATTGTTGATTTTAGTAGTTAAAGGGAAACAACCAAAATAATTCTCTTTTAAATTGTTGTTTCCCTTATTAATACAAAGGGAAATAATAATATTAAAATATTCGAACCAAAACACTCTAAAACAATACCATGCGACTAATTAAAAATATTTCAATGCAACCAAAATATTATATCAACTATTACACACATTTTTTACTTACGAACAATCTGTTTAATATATAGGAATTATTTTTTATGGAGATTCAAAGTAAGTTTATCTATATTTACAAAACCACTTAAAATAACATGTTGCTTTACCATCACTATATAAGTTAGGTGGATCTGTATTAATTCTGTGTCTGTGACTGTCCATCGTGGGTGGTTTTAGTGGGTCTCGTTCCATCATCACAGTGGTATATTTCATG